CGGTTCCCGAAGAATGCTTTCAATTGACTCATCTGTTGTTTGAATGCAAACGAAGTTTGGTATGAGTTTTGCTATTCATTACTCATATAAAATGCAATAATTAGTTAATTTGTGTGAAACAAATGCGACCTAAAAATGAATTCAATGGCAAAAAATGTTTACAAATTTTAAAGAATTTAAAGTTTTATTTTCAATTAATTTCTATGAAAAGGCACTGATTTTTATAAAATACAAAATTTTAATCTAACGTAAATGTTATGAAAAACACAATTTTATTAATGTTCAATCGGAATATTAATAATGAAAAATTCTTATAACATATGAATAAATGGAAAACAAATAATTTCATTACAGGTGTCACTAAAAAATAATAAGAATTAAACCTCAAAAACAAATGCCTTTAATTTTGTAAATAATTATAATAATACAGAAATAGTATATAAATACTAAAGAATGGATATCTTCGGTGACGATAACACATAACTATAAAAATAATTCATAAAATATTTTTCATACGTATTGTCAAAGAAATATTTAATCAATAATCCATTCAAAAATATTGACAACAATTGCAATATTAATTGAATCAATCAATTGAAGGAATGAATGAAACTTACAATATATCCAAAAAACAGTTTTGTAGACACAAAAGGGTTTCGATATTTGTTAATAAAAATTATGTTTTGTTTGATTAAAAATAAAAAATATATATTTATTGTGTATTTTGTTCTCTAATATTACGTTATATAAAGAAAATAAAGATTCGCTTTTAAAACAAAACCAAACATTTGATGAAAAATTGTCAAAAACTTAAAAAAGTGTTGTATTTATGCTTTTATTGTTTCTTTCACTAAATCAGCAATTCTTGAAAAAACAACTCATTTTTCTTATGTTTTTGTTGTGTGAAAAAGAATTGTATTTTAATTTTGTTTATCAACTAATTTCACTTTTAAATTACTTTTGTTTATTTCAAACAGTGTTTACATGTTCTCGAACTGATCCACACGTCGTTTAGTATTGCCTTTCCTTATGTCTCGCAATGTCTTGTATTTGTCTCTTCCCTGTCGAACATTCTCTTCGTGTAAAACATCGGTTTTGGTCACTTTGCTATCGTCTTTAACAAGTGCTAAGTCTTGTTGTAATTTCTGTCAAACAAACACAGATTATTACCATAATACTTAATATATTACTTATTATATCCATTACCTTAAGCTGTTCCTGCAGATCCTTCTTCTTAGACACCTCTGTTTCCCTCTCCTCTTCAGGTCGCGGAACATCGATAGCACTGTCGCCGTCGCCATCGTTATTGAATGCAACGCCTGATTACAAACAATGGGATCAATGTCGACATTCAATTGACAATCATATACTCCCATCACATCTCAAGACATACCTATCTCTCCGTTGACGAGTTCGTCGTCATTCTCTTCGTGTTCATTCTCGTAGACGTGATGGTGTTGTGGTGTCGTTGAGGCGGCGATCAGAGCGGCGGCCGCCGTCTCCTGTTTACGTCGGGCCTCTTCCACCTCCTCCTGCAGACGCCGAGTCTCCTCATCCTTGAGCTGCACCTCCTCTTGGATGCGCTGCACCTCTTCCTGTTTGCGCCGAATGTCTTCCTCCAACTTCTCCCTCTCCGCGGTCTCCATCATCTTCGTCTCCTCCAACTTCTTCATCAGCTCTTCCAACTCCTTCTGCTTCCTCTCCATCT